AGGCTCAGTACCTCGGAATGACGACAGCCATGGACCAGCAGCTGCCAGAGATAGAATATCTCATGTGCTTTTACCACGTGGGAGCCACGATTGCGCATGGGTGACGCTGATAAGGCTCAGTACCTCGGAATGACGACAGCCATGGACCAGCAGCTGCCAGAGATAGAATATCTCATGTGCTTTTACCACGTGGGAGCCACGATTGCGCATGGGTGACGCTGATAAGGCTCAGTACCTCGGAATGACGACAGCCATGGACCAGCAGCTGCCACAGATAGAATATCTCATGTGCTTTTACCACGTCATCAAAAAGGTATGTCTGATATAAATTGCTTATGACTCACGTATGCATGATATCATTACATACGGCTCATCTTGTATACAGTGCTATGAAAGGCGTACTGAGTTGACGAACGAAGAATGGCGAGATGTTTCATTCGACATCTATTTGCTGCATATGTCGGCAAGTCGTGTGGACCTAGGCGACTTAATGGCGGTGGTGCACGACAAGTGGGCGACGAGCCGGGGCCTCCGGAAGTTTCGGCGCTATTTCTTTAGCCAATGGCTGCCGTACAACCGTGCGTACAGTGGAACTGACGATGTCCGCTTTTGGAAGTGGCAAGTGTACCACAGTCCACCTGGCAGCTCGTACACCAACAATCCAACCGAGCACTTCAACTGCGAATTGAAAGATGTACGACAATTATCATACTACATTGAATAACCTCATCTGTAGTCTATTGGTCGAACCAAACTCCATGTCCCACACCTTATGCAAGAGATTGTGAAAGTCCTCAAGTTCGAGTCCGAACTCGAAAAACCATGGGCAAATAAGCAAACTGTATCCATCCGAATGAAGACCCACTTCAACCGACTGCAATCACGTGGCGCTCTCACCGTTCGTGCCGTGCCACGTCAAGTCCCTGAACGTTGGCATGTCCGCCACGAATCACAGGTGATGGACCCAAGCGATGATGATGCCATAGGCATGCACCTACCTACCCCTTCCTCCTGGCCGGGCGCCGCTTGCAAGGAACCTTGCTCTGTTTGAATTGCACGAACAACCTGCGAGTGGATGGATCGTTGGTCGAACCCAAGACCCAATTGCCTTGCAGTGCGATTGTCTGCTTTGGATTCGTGGCGCCATTTGCAGCCATGTGCTGGCCGTATCCAACGAAGTACGGATCAGACTTCCAGGGATGAGTACACCGCCACGGCGACTGACAAGCCGTACGAGACGTGCAGATGCTGAAGAACAGCACCATTATCAGGTTCGCGGCCGTCGCCGTCGTTTGCACGTTGCCTGATATATCATGTTTGCTGGTTAGCTAATTTGGTCGATAATACATTTTGTATATTTCGTATTTGTGCAGCATACTATTTGCAAGTGCAATACTTTGGGACTCAATTGTGTACAGTACATTGGTGTGATATTATATTAGATAAGCTGAATTAGAGTAGAATTGTGTATAGAGTGCCGATAAATTATGGTACTCAGAGCCACCATGTTAATGCCTGGAGTAGTCGGGTGAGATAATTCCCACCTTAGTCAAGATTAGATGCTTTTGAACTTGTCCATACATGAAGGGCAGTGGCCCATAATGATGTTCCACGCGCGCCAAGTATAAACAAAGTTAGCAAATTCTTGACTATTTGACAACACACCCTCGGAGGAGTAACAGCGAACAAACAGCTCAATGAGTACTCAATACTGAACAGATCTAATTTTAGTAGCTACAGCTACGTACTCCCACTCCTGAAATCACAAAACTTAGGGAAAAATAGCCAATCACATGCTCTGAATTCATTTACAATAGCCAATCACATTGAAATGTGAGTTTAATAACCAATCGCATTGCTCATAGTCACATATGTCCAGAAATTCTCATAACGCACTGCCTGCTGAAGTGGATCTCGTTGTGTGTGTGTAACATACTCTATATTCAATTCAGCAAATCTCATGTGTACTTCAGCATAAAGCATGTGTGATTCAGCAATTCTTATGTGGCTCTCAGCGATTTCTGTGTGGTCCTCAGCAATTCTTATGTGGCAATAGTTTATCCTCATTGCATATGGTTGTATGCAGCACTTCGAGGGCCGACCTTACTAGTCTTCATCCTTGGCCTTAAGGATGAAGACTAGTACACGTTGGGCAAATAGGGTTGACGATTAACTCATTAGACTTGATATTGCTGAAGTCAAATGTTCGTTGGTTCGCTCTTTAGCTTCGTGTGCTTCAATGAAGCATGGCTCGACCTCCATCGACAGCGATCGTTGCATGTTCGATCCTTGGCGCCAGTAGTCGCAATAGCCATGATGAATCATTCAAAGTTCAACCGCTATCGTCATTGACCTCTACATGCGCCATCGCTGTCACTAGTAGGTACTATATAACCTCCGAATACTCCCTTGTCCCTCTGACCCCCTGCAGTTGAATCAATGTCCATTGAGGTATATGAATGTTCCATCATGGGTCGACCTCCATAAACCTTTTTCACACCTGTACGATCCTTCCACCATTTTGTGATCGCTACGATATCGCACATCAAGTGCAGATCGGTGATGAAAGCCTATGGATGATAGTCAGGATGCAAGGCTTGTACACCCCTGTCATAGTAGCAATTTATCCATAGCAACAAGATGACCAACGCCAAACAGCATGATATGGCCCCTTAAAACTACTAGTACCACGAAATACAGTTAAAAATGTACCCTAATGAGTAAGCATACCAATTCATACTCAAAGGAACTCATGGGTAATGGAGGACCAAGAGGGTGAAGCTATGTCTCTCCAATCCCTACCACTATTAAGTGACCCTCCAAGTCCACAAATGGCAACGCCCCCTGGAGCACCACCAACGCAGACCAATCACACATCATAGCAACGTATATGCAATTGATCCCTCGTAGTGGTGGTTCTGATAGAATTATTGGATCTCCAGAACCACTACTACACTGGTGGAAAACCGCATTAGTCATTCCTCAGTGCCTGCCCTACCTTGGTAGGCTGATAAATATATATTTTCCTTGTGCACACGGTAAGCGAATATCGATGAATAAATGATACTGCAGCCTTCTGTCATGGTCGCTTTTAAGCAATCAAAACACAAGGACGCATGCCAAACAGCATGATATGGTCATTAGAAACAAGCACCGGTAAATCCTACCCTATGTAGTTGAACAATCAGACCAATGCCAAGCGTCAAAGGAACTAGGGATTGGAGGTATGACCTTGACGGGATTGGAGGCACTACCTCGAACACAGGGGTACATGCACATCTAAGGACCAATTGCGTTGGCGATTAACGCATACTGAGTACATGGTCATGATCTTGGTCAATTCTAACCACTTTTATCGTCTTCAACTCACCCCCTACTTCACTAGCGGCTCACGGCCTCAACCATATCATCAACGCAGACCAATCACATATCCTAACAAGGTGTGTCGCTGTATTGGACCCGTGTAGTAGTGGCTCTGGATGCATATCGGACGACTACTACTACCTCTGTCCTGAAATGTTCGCTACAATGGCGAATCTTGAAGTTCCACAACGATTGCTACAAGTGTACCACTGTGTATCCATTGCGTCGATTAAATGTATTATATACAAATTAAGTGATATTATTTTATATATTAGGATTTGAAAAATGTCAATGGCATCATCGTCGACAACATCTTGCACATCAAGACCCTTCAGCTGCGTATGAAACTCACTGTCAATGTGGACCTTGATGCGTGACGACACGTTGGAACATGGGCTGAGCTTGTCGTTGAGATTGACGGCGGCACGTTTCCAAATAAGGCGCACGGTGGTTCGTTCATGACGGTGCTTCTTGCCACGCCGAAGTTGGCCGCCACGGCAGCAAATGCACCATGCGGGGAGTGTTGATTGGTCATTGTCCAGAGTAAGAAGGTGCTGCAAGACAGCAGTCCGGTCCGAGTTGGACAAATTCTTGGCGGACATTCTTGGATACTTGTTCGGATAAACGAAGTATTATCCGGGAATCGGTTATCCGGATACGCTCGCCGAATATCATATAGGATAAACTATGGCATCTGTATTTACTGAATTTCTCTCTTGATTGGTTCATTTTTGGCTCGAAGCATCTTGATTGGTATACTCTGAAACCTCCTCTTCACATACATATCGTTCGTTTTAGATATTTCGACCGGTATCACGTTCATTTTTCAAAATATCTGATTGTAGCGAACATTTCAGGACAGAGGTAGTACATGGGACCAATACCGCTATCAGTTCCTTCGTGCCCAACCTACCTTGGTGGGTCGATAAAGATAACCTTCGACAGGTCCATACCGCCTAATGATCGCCTGAGTGTCGTCGAGGTGTGTGGTTAAAATGCTAATATTAAAAAATAGTGTAAAAGCCGGATTAGAACTCGGGATCTTTCGACTACGAACCTGAGGCTCTACCGCTGAGCTACCAGCAACAACTTTTTTGTTTGGAACAAAACCCTTTATGTGATGTATAAATTTGTGCTGTCATTTCGCAATTTTCGTGGCATGGAACCAGCGCCGAAATCGGGGGATTGACGAGCTGCATTGACGCACTACCAAACTCAAGCTGCAACCAACGATGAAAAACATCTATTCTAATGAGACAATCACCAACACTGTAGGTCCTCCATGTCATTAGCTTCATCGTTGCGTTCAATACCGGACCTCCAAATCACTCCAGTAGGTAGTTCGTTCTACTCTATGCATGAGTCGTCTTCTTTCTCAGTTGAGACCATTCGTACTACCTTCGGTACGACTACTTGTTTCAACCACAATAAAAATCTGGTTGGGTCGTTTGTCGTGTACTGAAGCGAAAAGCGAGCAAAACACAACGCTACACTACGAAGTACTAGAGGTCATCATACGTAGCACTGTGTTTCGCAGTAAACTTGTCTGCGGCCATGAATCGACTACTCACGGCAGTGTTCATAACAGAAACCCTATCGACATTAATCGACGCATGCACGAATTCACCTCGCAGTCGTAATCACGCGCTGTGGAGCATCCATTTCTACGAGTTGGAGGGACTTACGCGTTTCTTATGGCTGTTGGATTGCGTGAATGAGTGGCCCGATATCGACTGTCGACTTGTCTAGACCACCAATGTTATTAGGCCACTCATATCTCCGCTCAATGAACTTCGAAGCTCTGAACTATGTACTACTCTGTTCCTGAATGACTGTCCAATTGTTTATCTTGATTAAAGTATACCTCCTCGATTATAACATCTTGATATTTGTATTGGTCTCCAACATCGCATAACGAGACGGGAATTTTTTATTGTATTTTTATAAAACCACCCACTCAACTTGCTCTTGAGAACTAACCAGCGCCAGACGTATCGCACCTCACGTTCAATGTCGTTAAGTCGGCAATGGTAGCTTCCTTATTCATGTGTGAAAGTTTGAAATCATTACTACCATGGGCTTCTATGAACATTTGCATCACCTTTTGCAACGTGATGAAGGTTTTAGATACTGTATCTACTGGTAATTTAACAAAAGCACTTTCCACAATATCAATTAGTTCCTCAATTGACCGAGTACACTTTTGATACTGCAGACTTTGAATAGCGTTAAAATTCCTAAGTCTAAAACATTGAAATCAGGGCTGTTTGGCGGCTGATTCGTCATGCTGACACCCATTCTTCGTAGCAGTGCCGTGCTAACTCGGCGATGCGGGCTTGCGTTATCGGGTTGGATAATCACTTTACGCTCCTTGCCACGGGATGGGAAACGGTATAAAATTGCAGGCACCACCTTGCCGGTTACCATCGCCTCGTGAACGTCACCATTAACGTTCTAGGCGACTTAAAGTAGCGTTCACTTGGGGCGGTTCTTGCTTGATCGCTGGGCTGGAGCGATTTCGACGAACGGCCAAATGCCAATTTTGCCGTCGAAGAGCCTTTTCTTCGTGTGATCGTAGTGCGGTCGCCCAACCGCAGCTAAAAATATTACATTTGTGATGTAGTTCTTGGATTCGTTTCCCGTTTTGCCATGGCTTCGTCCTCGTACACGTAGACTTTTCTTTTGACCTTCGTCAAGAAGCATCACTTCTCATCAATATGCACAACGTCGTGCATATCACGGGAGCGCGTTCTTGCGTCTAGACGCGTGTGATGGTCCGTGAGTGGCACTTGAACAGTAGAGCTGCACGCTTCAGAGCTCCACACGAAAGCTTGCCGCTGACAGTGCTCTCGAGAAGCATGGCATACATTGCCAGCCGTTGTTCAGTCGTCAGGTTTCCGTGGGCACTGCTGGTGGGGAGTTGAGTCCGACGGGCTGTAGCGTTGGCCTGGGGCATTGTCAGGTCGGTAATCTTGAGGGTGATAAGTCCTGAGCGCGTGAAGTTGAATAGTGGCCGCTGTCCCGTTAGATTTATGATGGTCTCGCTGATGTTGTCAATGTTACTGCTCATAACATTTGAGGCAAAGTGCTCTAGAAACGTCGTAACCTAGACAATCACAGAGTAGATCTTGCGCGTTTTAGTGCACCAATCAGCAGCATCTATCTCAACTAATTTAGAAAAATCCCACCAATGATAGAATAATTGGACAGTCATTCAGGAACAGAGTAGTACAAATGACCCTCCTAGATTAGTACTAGTATAAATGACCCTCCTAAAGTACTAGTACAAATGGCCCTCCTAGATATAGACCTGATGAAGTAGCGCTTGACTTCGAAACTACAGCTAAGAGCATCTCCAACGCGGGTCCCTATCCCAACTCTATATCTCAAAACTTCGGTTGTACCGTTACTTCATGTAACAGTACGGATAATTTGGGGGCTTATCCGGGCGATTTTGTCCCCAAATTATGGGGATGTCCCCAACATGGAATAATTCCCTCATTAAAACAGTTCCACTGTTGTTTTGACCCGAAATACTATTTCAATGAGGGAATTATTACATCCGGATACACCATTTCTCCAGTAGCCCTGTAATCTGGTACTCCGTCCTACCCCCGGTGAGTACATACGATACTAAATCTCCGGGGTTAACTGCATCGCTAGTGGTTAGCTATCGCTAACCACTGAGATGCACTTAACCCCTAGTAAGAGGTAACAGCCCTGATATTTAGAATATTTTAGATTTAGGGTATTTTAACAGTATTCAAAGTCTGTAAAGTCAAACGTGTACTCGAACAGTCGAGGAGCTTATTGGCGCTGTAGAAAGCTCATTTTATGAGCTGCCTTGTGATACACTTTCAAAAACCTTTATCACCTTGCAGAAGGTTATATATGAAGAAGACACTTGAAAGTAAGGGTAAGAACGATTACAAGCTTCTGCGTTTGAGAAAGGATGCGTGCATTAAGGACTTGTCTCTATACAATGTCAAATGTGATTCTCTTATCTACGACCGGGCTGTCGATCACTTGAGCGTACTTTGAATTCGCTAGAAACAGTCAGCTTTGTAATAAAACAAAATGGAATTATATTTTCATCAAGTTGTATTAATTGTTAAGGTTCAATACAAACTTCTAGATGTTTTGTCACACCTCACTATACTTTAATCAAGATAAAACATCAGTACTATCATTTCAGACCAGAGTAGTACTTGATTTGGGGGGCGGGCAGGGGGCTTTATTGTGACGTATTAATTTGGTGCTTTGAAATACATTAACAGAATATTTGAGTTTGTGTGAATAGTAGTTGCGTCGTCCTAACTTGATACTATCACTAAGCCCTTCGTCGACGACTACAGTACACTTAATCCAACACTGAATTCAGAATCACACTAATTCAATTAACACCGAACTCAAAGACTCAAGAGTTTCGCAATCACTTCTACATTGATTGAATGCTGCCTTGCATAATGTAAGTAAGCGATGTCGAATCCGATTGTTCCCATAAAAATATTCTACGTAACGATATTACCGGTACACCCCGACAACCAACTGAAGTCTACGCGTGGATACAAAAGTTGGTGTGGGCAAATAGTTACTTGTATATAGATTAATGCTCCGAAGAACTTCGACGCATAACGTTAGAGCATTTGTAGTTGTCGTTAGCGTACAGTATGTCACTGCCATTAACTCTAGCGAATTAAAAGCAAATATTGGCTTAAACAGTAAAACAAGAACATCCATCCGACAACGCTATGGAGCTGGAGACACAAACAATTCCAACTCACATTGCTCATTGATATTGTCAAATCGATTCAACATTGGAGCCACCAGCAGTACAGTACTTACCACTCGAATTCCTACCTGCAATGGTGCAGCTTACATTGAATACTCTTTAACAGTACTACTAGTACAGTAAATAGCATTCAACGTTGGTACGATTAACGTTGTACAACATTGTATGCCTTCTTTTCACGTTAACTTAGGATTGTACTTATCGTTAGCAAGCAATTAGTCCTACCCACTTACTCAGGGGCGTTTTAGGTCAATAGTACCAAATTCCATCAGTGAGTGGGCATTTGACCATTTGAGTGGGTGTGCCACCCACGCCACCGGGGAATTGGTCCCGGATGGATGACCAAAATATTTACTGTTCTATTGTTTCCACCACGAGACTTCACTCGAATATGCTTGTTCTCGCTTTTAGAGCACGCTTTTAGAGCGTAGTCTTTAACGTAATCCACGAAGGCTTTGCCTGAGTGAAATTCCATTCCAAGAGCAAGAGTCATGGTGGCGCTGTTTAATTGAAAGTGAATACTGTCTGCTTGATATGGAATACTAGTAACTGCGAGATTATGTGCCAATCAATCTTATCTTGCTCCAACAATATGTCGAAGATTGGATTTACAATGTAATATTTTAGAAGTGCGATAATATTTGTTAAGTGCGCTCACATTTTGGCGAAGGTTTCACATTTTGGTGAAGTTTGCTGATACAGTATACTTCGAAGTACTCACATATTGGCGATTACCCAACTGTTGTGTGCACTGCTTACAATATGCAGGTATGTCGCAATTCCAAATTTGCGACATACCTGAATATTATTTCTCGGCTTGGGCGGAGACTAAGGGAACGTGATGAAATCGTTAAGGAATGCTCAAAATCGTTAATCCCATATGAAAAATTGATGAAAAACGTTAAGACCAATCAAAATTCTGATAAAATGGAGCGTCTATGTGCGATGACATACCAATTTCATCAGATGGCTCATGGTGCAATCATCCCACTTCATCGTCAACATTCTGTGCCTACAAATTGATATCGAAACACTTACAGTATTGTAATAGTACGGGACTAGTAGTATTTGTTTACATCGAAACGCTGGGGGGGCCCTATATCGATGTCCCTATCCCCAAAACCTGTTACAACAGTGGTACCATCGAAGTTACGGATAAATTGGGGATGTATCCGGGTGTTTTGATCCCCATTTCGCTCCTACGTCCCTATAAGAGCATCTTCACCGCATCCCCATTTTCCCCAAAACCCAGAACTTCGATTGTACTTCAGGTTGCAGTATGGATATTTTGGGGATTATCCGGGTGATTCTGTCCCCGTTTGACTCCGATATCCCAATAATTTGCACTTTTTGGGATGTCCGAGGCAAATGAGGACAAAATCACCCGGATAAGTCCCCAAATTCTGCGTAGTATCCGTAACTACGAGGAAGGGGGGGGAATAGCTCAGGTGGTAGAGCATCGGTTTCTTAACTCAAAGGTCGTGGGTTCGATCCCCGGCTTCCCCGGATTATTTCCGCAAGGATTTATCCGTCCCTCCCCTGGGGAATCCGGATAACAAGGGCTGCGTACGAAGACGAGGACCGAACTTCGAAGAAGATCGGTCGAAGCACGAGGTATGAAGCGTTGAGCGAAGTAAAAACCGAAGATTACACACCGCCCCTGGTCGAGCAGGCGCGTTACAATTGGCGAAGCGGTTCCATAACATGTGGTTCTAGTGTCGGCCCTCGCGAGGAATGTCTTAAAAATGATAATCCAAACTCAATTAATCGCCAT